TTTACCATTCCTTTTATTGTTTAGCAATCTTATATATTTAAAGTAGCTTGAAATATAATAAATATCTGTAAATGGGAATATTTTTTGGTTACCTGATCTCGATTAATCCTTAAATATTTATTGGGTGATCTTTATTGATTTCTTTGTTTATATTTGGTAGGATATTATCTAGCCGAGTTGAATGAGTCCCACGACCTGGCCGGCTTAGCCTCGAATTAAATGGGAGCGAGAAACAGACAGTCATACGGTAATCAGTTAAAAACTAATATTCATTTCAACATAAACATATAATAAAGTTCATTTTCCAAGAATACATAAAAGTAATGTAAACTATTGGATTTACATCATTTATATACGCACTTATATATTTCGTAGTTGAATATAAATAAATATATGTAAATTGAATATTTTTTTTGATTCTTGATCTCGATTCAAATCCTAAATATTATGGGTTATCTTTATTGATTTCTATATATTATTATTAATGCTAGGATATTATCTAGCCGAGTTGACTGTCACGACCTGGCCCGGCTAGCCCGAATTAACGGGGAGGAAACAGACGAGTACGTACAAGTAAACAGTAAAAACTAATATTATCATTTCAAAATAAATAAGTTATAATAAATTTCATTCCAATAAAACATTAAAAGAGCCACAAAACCACTCATATACTTATATTGTTTTTTCTCTTTACAAGTCTTCGCATAACTATCAAACACTAACAATCAATTACATCATTCCCCAAGATTTTTAAAACACACATTCTATGACATACACACATAACACAAACTAAAGAAAACATTCTTGACACTTCTTTCGTCCACTGTCTACCAAAGTAAGTAAATTGTATATCTGCCATCAATTCTTAGATGGTTCCCTAAAAAAGAAAATCCGACAACATGGGATGAGCTTATCTTGCCCATCATGTATTCATCATATTCTTTCATAAAAAATTATATAAACAAACAATAAAATATCTTTTTCATACAATTAAAGTAACCATCAAATGAAAACTTTAAACGATAGTCAAATATTACGTAAATTCAAAATCTTTATGATATTAGAAGCCTTTTCATAACATTTTCCTCTAAATATAAACCTTTTAATGTATTTAAAAAAACATATATGAACCTTAATAATGCTTAATATTTACTTATAAATACCCGTCTCTTGAGTGCTCATAAATGTTTGTATTGATCATCGTACAACTATTTTCATTAGTTTGGCCATTCTTTACCATTGGCTCTGAAGACTCCTTTATCGATTTTGGCTTTGTTAAGAGCCCATTTAACCATTGTTGGTACTCCGCATCAACATAGCAATAGTTTCATTTCATAAATTCTTATAATATGTTTTTCAGTCAATCATATTCTTAATTGAAAAACAAACCTCAGATCATAAATCATTATGCTCAAAATATGAAAATTACGAATAATAATAGATATTTATACTAATATGTCATATGCAAAATAAAAGATTATAAACCAATTAACTTTGAATAACTCTAATATGGCTTAAAAAAAAGCAATAGCAATATTATTTGTTGAAATATTTTATAAGAGATGTGATACCTACATTAAACACAAACACAGAAATTTTGTTTATCGTGTCGCTTTGACAGCGCGTCGCTCCGCCTCTATAGATGCAACCTAACAATCACACATAAAGAAGTGTCAATGATAATTTTTTTCTCAAACTCTTGTCATTGATTCAAAATTGTCTATTCTTCATTCTTCACTAATCTATTCTTTATGCTAAGCTTAGAAGAATTAAACATAATTTATTTGAATTTTCGATGTTATTAAAATTCCTAATTTTGGAACCCTAAAAATTTCTTAAATTCCCTCAAATCATATGCCCAAAGTTTCCTAAACCTAATTTAATAAATTTAACTTTAAATCATTTTCGATTTTTAATTAAAAAATTAAAAATGCAAAATTTCCTTTATAAAAAAACATAAAATTGTTATTTACGAAACACTCCTAGGACCCATAGACTCACTTTTTTGTGAAAGCATTTTCAAGAAATTATTCAATTTTAGGCAAAAAACCATAATTTTTCAATTCTACAAAATTCTTGAGAAACTTCGTTTCAAACGTTAACATCGCTCTCTTAAACCTTTCCAAATGATTCTTAGTAGAAAATTTTTGGAATGAATACAACATATTTAGAAAAGTCCTAAAATTATCCTTTCCAAAAATCTATGATAGAAGACGAGCAGGAAATGTAAATTCTAATACATATCTTAGTCTTCCTTTATCATCACTTCTTATATTTTCCTCCAAGTTTTCTCGCTGGATTGACGTACCTGTCGCCCCATCCGCCGTCTCTTCTTCGTTAATTCGGTCGAACCGATACAAATGGTCGGTCCCCTTAAGGAAAGGGAAAGGATTGCCTAAAGACCACTTTGCCCGCATCCAACTTAACCAATATATTATAAAGGGGGGCGGCTAGATGGCGGGTTGAGGCTAGGTAGGTGGGTGGGATTTAGGTGGTGGAGCTAGAAGATGAATTGGGTGGAGGAGGTTGAGCCACCGGTGGTGGGGAAGTTGGAAGGGGTGGAGTGAGTGGGGGAGAAAGGAGATGACAACAAAATACAAAATAAGGTAAAAGTAAGCTAACGAACTCACAAAGAGATCGTAAAACCGCGAACCTTGGACTCTTCCAAAGGTTGACGGGTATTGCGATTGCCCACACCTTGGGTCTCTCCTCCCATGAACTCACTTAGAGATCAAGCAAAGAAAAATAAGATTTCATTTCATTATTTCAATATTCATCATCCCAAAATACAAAACAACTAGCCTATAAATAGGCCTCATGAAAAGAAAAGAAATAAAAGACTAAAATGCCCTTCGGGCTACAATACTACATGACCACCCGTAAGGGTATAAAGGAAAAAACAATAATATGAAATAAACTAGTACATATAAATAAATAACTCAAGATCGTAGCCGTTGATCTTCGATGTCCTCATCAATAACACTTATATATTTCGTAGTTGAATATAAATAAATATCTGTAAATGGGATATTTTTTTGGTTCCTAATCTCGATTCAAATCCTAAATATTATGGGTTATCTTTATCGATTTCTTGTATAATTTGGTAGGATATTATCTAGCCGAGTTGATGTCACGACCTGGCCCGGCTAGCCCGAATTAATGGGGCGGAAACAGACAGTCGTACGGTAAACAGTAAAAACTAATATTCATTTCAACATAAATATATAATAAAGTTCATTCCAATAATACATAAAAGTAATGTAAAGTATTGGATTTTACCATCATTTATATAACACTTATATATTTCGTAGTTGAATATAAATAAATATCTGTAAATGGGATATTTTTTTGGTTCCTAATCTCGATTCAAATCCTAAATATTATGGGTTATCTTTATTGATTTCTTGTATAATTTGGTAGGATATTATCTAGCCGAGTTGATGTCACGATCTGGCCCGGCTAGCCCGAATTAACGAGGCGGAAACAGACAGTCGTACGGTAAACAGTAAAAACTAATATTCATTTCAACATAAATATATAATAAAGTTCATTCCAATAATACATAAAAGAGCCACTAAACCACACATATACTTATATTGTTTTTCTCTTTTACAAGTCTTCCATAACATCAAACACTAAACAAGTCAATTACAACAATTCCCAAGATTTTTAAAACACACATTCTATGACATACACACATAACACAAACTTAAAGAAAAACTTGAC